GTAAATATTCATGTGATTAAGTTTGATATATATATATATTATTGTTATTATTTGTATTATTATTCTACAAAGATAAATGAGATTTGCACTGCATTACATATGCATCATAAAGACAGTGGTGTTTGGGGTGTGTGTGACGTTTGATGCATATCTAAAGGGTGAGAGAAGGTCTTAGATATATTTGAGTAAGAAAGAAAAAAAGTAAAATATATTCAAGTGACGGGAGCATGGCTTGAATATAATGAGATAATGGGAGCAGGGCCTCTAATGAAAAGTGAAAGTTGAGAAATTCGTAAACAAAAGAAAACTGGGTTAAGGGATGGACGAGCGCTAGTTCATATTTTAAGGTATTCGGAGCCACAATGATAAAACGTATGGTATGGGACATGCAGGCTTGTTGCCCTAAGGTATGAATTAGTGGGATTAGAAGGGAGTGAGTTCATGGCATCACCGCATATGCAAATTTATTTATCTGGTATGATTGCATAATCTCTGTATCTTGTGTCATTTGATGCATGACACTTTGATTAACTGTAATAGTTGACCTTGAGGGGTTAGACAGTACTCTACTGGGCATTAGAATGCTCATACCTTAATAGATTGTGCAGAATTCAAGGCGAAATTTGAGGGAGTGGGTTTCAACCAAGCTACTAGGCTTTTGTTATTGATTTGTGTAATTAACATTTGTAAGTAGTCAACATGTTGATAAAGGTCTTAGTGTGTAATTAACTACGAGCTACTGTGACTCTGATTCTGTGTTGTTAAGTGAAATAGTATTTATTTGTGGCTCTTTTTCTCTTCATATCATGGTTGTAGGATTTTATTCTTATGACTATGGTATGTCTTACACCCTGATTCAGGAATATTCCTTATTTTCAATACAAATTTATAAATAAACCCAATCCTAGACATGTATTTATAAAAAAACCCAAGCACTATTTAAACATAGAAACACACCCAAAATCAACCCCAAAGTCAACTTTTTGGGTGTGTTTATAAATGGGTTTTGAGTATGTGTAATGATGGGTTTTGGGTGTGTTTATATGTTTAAATAGTGCTTGGTTTTTTTTATAATTTCAACCCCCATTTTGGGTGTTTTAGTGAAACTCCCTATTTTCAAATCTAATCGTGACAAAGTCAAAGGAATGGAGGAGAAATGAAGGAAAAAGCTTGGCGAAATTGGATAGAAACCATTAGGGTTTCTTGGAAAAGAGTAGATCCAACGCGTATAAAAAGAGGCATTTTCTACCCATCATCTCGACCCATATCTAGAGAGCAAGCTTCATCTATAATTTATGAAACTCTGCAATTTCGTGCCATATTCCTCCATCTCCTCCCATTTTCTCTTATGGCAAGTCATTCCAAAGTCTAACATAGCTTTTGTCAGGCTGTTGGAAAATTACCCAAAACACCAATACTTCACCACTAGCCAGAATTCGTGCTCTATTCATCCTTTTCCCCTCATTTTTCTCTCATGGCAAACTGTTCCAGCACTTGACAACACCTTTGTCGAGTTGCCGAAAAATCACTTAAGCCATCCATTATCCTCATCTCTCTCCCCCTCTCTTTCCCTCATTCTCAGCCAAACCTTCATGCAAGCCCTTCCTCTCTTACCTTAACACCTCCTTATTCCCCATGAATGCATAGCTTTCTCTTCAGTGTTAAACTCATGACAATTTTGCTTCCATAACACAAGCCTCTCATGCCAAGCTAAAAAATTTATCAGTAAGCTATTGTTATTTTTGTTGGTGATGGTAATCAAGGTGTTTCCTAAGACTTCATTGTCCTTTCGGAGTATTCTTGGGGCTTGATCTTTGAACTCATACACAGGGGATAATTTCATCAATTCGCTCATTACGGTGGCCCAGCCCATTTGTAGCTGCCAGAAGAAAAAGCCCCTACAACACCAAAAAATAATTTTCCTTTCCCTTCATCGTCTATGTTCTCTACACTGAAACTTCTTTAAGAAAGCATCTAAAATATTGTATTGATGTTTAATTAATATTTAATAGAAATTCATGGACCTAGAGCATCTACAATTGGCTCCCTAAATCACATCCTTAAATAAATTTTATGGAGGAATTGAAAAAATACAACTCCAACCATACTCCCAATCCACCTCCTAAAATAAAGAGACCTCTAGGAACTCCTAAATTTGAGGAGGGAGAAACGACTTCTAGTTGCTCCTTATAATTTAATGTTGATTTATTTTATGTATATTTTAAGCATTTAATTAATTATGACAATTTTTATATATTTTTTTATGGAGATGGACCATTTATCTTCAATTAAAGAAATATATATATAGCATTTAGGGTGTATGATTGGAGTTAAAATTTTATAGAGAGCTCATATGATAGTTTTTGTGTATTTTAGTTAAATTTAAACTAAATAATATGGAGCATGATTGTAGATGTTAACTTTATATTAGGTGAAGGACACATGTCAAAAGATGAGGGAGGAAACAGAGTGGGCACAGGTATTTTGGGCACGGGAAAATTGAAGTCCCACACTACGGCTTCTGCGGTTTGCTTTCTGAACTTTCGTACTAACAGAAAGTCTCCGGGTTTAACCGTAAGCGGTATATGATTGCCCCCTTACAATCATGAACGGGTAGACTTTTCTTCTTTTAAGTACTGATCAATCAGAAATGCTCGTCCTGTTGAATAGTTTTTTTGCTTTTTAGGTACGAATCCAACTGGTTGGGTTAATAGTCACAAACGATCAACACGTGAAGATCATGAAACCTTTTCTTTTTTTTGGTTACAGAAGATCATGAAACCTTTTTTATTAATAGAAAAGAGTACATTCAAGCTTAGAAGCTTTCCATACGCAACACTTGACGATGTTTCAAACTTTTTCGTAGGAAATTCGAACTTAGAAACTTTTCAAAAATTGAAAAAAGAAATACGCTGGATCAAGAACTAGTCGATACTAGAATAGGGTTTTATTTTTTGAGAAACCTCAAATAAATAATTTTTTTAGCTCCCCAGTGTGTTAGAAATCTAAAGGCTCTCTCTATTTTCTTGATCTTACTGATAAGATCTAAAGAAAACCAAAAGGTGGATAAGAACAAATCACTTTGCCATTTACCCTTTGGTAAAATCTAGCAATAATTGACTGCAAATATGACGCAGACAGATTGCACGTACAGATTGCAGTTCCATAACAGGTGAGGTTCATGAGAATATATAATAAAAATAATATATACAAAAAGGTACCTCAACTCAACTGTATCAAACTTACATCATATATAAATAAATAAAAAAAGGGGAAACGATAGAGGAAGGAAGCATCGATCCTGAGGGAAAAAAGAGGAAATTAACAATTTTATAAATAAAAGAGAGAAAAAAAAAGAAAAAAAAAGGGAGCAAAGAAAGCAAAAGAATGGAAACATTCACATATGGGGTGGTGCATGCAGTATAGTATAGAAGACTTTCACATGAGGTCCAGCTTGGAATATACAGAAGAAAAAAAAAGTAGTTTGGCTTCTTGTTATGGAAAATTCACCACCTTTCTCATTGCCGTTCCTGGAACTTGTCTGAAAATCACTTTTATTTTAATCCGAGTTATATATATTGAGATGACCTCTCACAGCAAAAGCAGTATAGCAGCAGGCCAGGCACTCATAGAGGTGGAGTTCCTTTATGCCCTCAGCCTGTTTTCAAAGATAGAGAATCTCTCTGAAAATGTTGAAATTCCCTCTGTTTCCGTATTTATATATGCACACATTCAACATTTTCTTCTGATTACCCAAACTGCAAAAGATGAATTTCCTTTATAAGCTTGTGAATGTTCAGCAAGAACCATAGACATTTTGCTGTTTTTGCTGTGTATTGCTTTTTATATATATATACATATATAATAGCATGAATTGACAGCCATGGAAACGTAAGGACCCCACCGTGGCATGCAGGATTGTATATAATAATGGTTTTCTGGCCTGACCATGGAAAAACATCCCCTCGTTTTGAATAAAAATGTTCAATAATTAAGTGCACAGCCAATCAAATCAAGAACCAATTCCAAGGGACCCAATTAATATGAGAGGCACAGATATATAACATAAGTATATTATGCATATTATCCTAAATAAGCAAAAATTATTGCATACACCACACAGTTAATCATAGAAAGCGTGTTAATTAGTAAAAATCTCAAAGTCGTCATAAGAGCACATAATTCAACTTATTATGTTTGATTTTGATATGGCAAATCATTACAAGAAAAATTGGCTAGTGTAATGAAATTAAAAGTGACGTTTGTAAATTCGTCACATGTGGTTGGAATATATGAGGAATTTATTTGGTCGTCACTTATAGAATGACTAAGAAAACAACAGTTTGTGAAAAAGACCAAAGTCGTCACAAACATGAGCGCGATTCTAGGTGGGAAAGACTAACAAGTGTTTGTGATGCCAATAGAGTCACACATAAAATTCTAATGCGTCACAAATATTACATGTTGGAATCTCTAGTGAAAAAAGAGAATACAAAAAGAATGAGAGGAAAAATTTCCCTACCCAAAAGAAAAAATATATATTTCAGGAATTCTTTTGGTCATCGCATATAATGAATTATGACAAATTATGTGAGGATCGGGCCTCACTTATTCACATCTAATATTGAAGAAACCATGTTATAGAATTAATACAACCGTTATACATACAGGAATTTTTCTGGAAACGATACCACTAAACTCTGTTGATGTGACATAGAAAAGAGAGGGTGGGAGGTGGGGGACTGGCTAACAATATTTTCTAGAGATGTCCCTATTATTCTATGCCTTTATACTCTTTCTTCTTCTTAATGCCTGTCTTAAAACACATAATAGAGATCTAAAGTAACTCGCTTGAAAACACTATAAATATAACCTTACAGGAATTCCACTACCAAGCAACATAAGAAGTACATCTCTAATTCCTCCTGAGTTCTTATCTGTTAATCTTTGATCAATAGCTACACTTTCTTTCTCACTCCTCATTCTCTCTGTCTCAAAAAATGGCAAGAATGTCTGAGCCTTTGGTTGTTGGGAGAGTGATAGGAGATGTTCTTGATTGTTTCACCCCAACAACAAAAATGTCTGTCACTTACAACACCAGGCTAGTCTGCAATGGATATGAGCTGTATCCTTCTGCTGTCACCACCAAACCTAGAGTTGAGATTCAAGGAGGAGATATGAGAACTTTCTTTACTCTGGTATATATATCTATACAAATTTCCAATATTTCTCCAGACTCCCACTTCAATTAATTAGATTTTGTTTCTCTATGAGTCTCCATTATCGGATCAATTTGATTTTACTTTGCATCTCTTGTGATATAGTTTTCTTGTTATTGCAGATCATGACAGACCCTGATGTTCCTGGCCCTAGTGATCCTTATTTAAGGGAGCACCTGCACTGGTATACTTATTAACCCACTATCAAATTAACCTAGCAACAAACTAATCAATTAAAAGACAAATAAATATTCACTTAATTGATTTCATGAGCATGCTACGCTAGAGCAGATGTACTCCCCCTTTTGCCCCCCTCCTCTCACCCCCACACGTGCTGGTAGTTTAGATTAGATTAAAGTAGAACATATATAACCCATAAAACAATGGTCCAGATACAAGCACCTAACAGTCCTTCCGTACTTGTTAAGCATAAAAAATGACTTCAGTCAAAGCTTCTAATAGTTTGTAAAACATTCATTGTATACCTCTACATAAACCTTGTTTTTGTTTGCGTTTCTCAATTATTTGTTCATAAATTATATTCAGAATTTTCAAATTTCATCTAATATATATAAATATATGAACTGATACCTAGCTAGAATAGCAAGCTAAAAGTTGTCTAAGTATAAAGATACCTAGCTAGGAACTGACAAGTTTGCTTTAATTTTGAACTAAACCCAGGATTGTGACAGATATTCCAGGCACCACAGATGCCACATTTGGTAAGTCAAATAATGTTTTCTTTTTTGAATTATTTTCCCATTTTAATTAACTTAACTGTGGTTAGATTAATTGTAAATTAATTTAACAGGAAGAGAGGTGGTGAGCTATGAGATGCCAAGGCCCAACATTGGCATCCACAGGTTTGTGTTTGTTCTCTTCAAGCAGAAAAGAAGGCAGTCTGTGAACCCTCCTTCCTCAAGGGATCATTTCAGTGCTCGAAGCTTCGCAGCTGAAAACGACCTGGATCTTCCTGTCGCTGCCGTTTACTTCAATTGCCAGAGAGAAACGGCAGCTAGAAGACGCTAGCTAGCTACCCAGAACCCCAAAGCTCCTCCATAATATGTTAATTTTAAATAAAATTATTATCAAGTGTGTTTCATCATCCTCCCTTGTCGTTAGAGTTGTATTAGGCTAAAACTACTCACATGTAACCAGAATAATTTCCAGTCAAGAGAGAGCAAGGTGCGTTCGGCTCTGTCATTTTGCTGCTCTCTGATCGGACTTTATGAATTAATTTGCAGAAAGTTTGAAGTCTCACCTGACCATCTGTGAAATATCTCTCTATGGGGTTTTTAATTTATATTTTATTATAACGGGACAGGTGGAACCAAACGTCCCACTTTTTGTCCTTTTTAAGTTAGGGTTTTGGCTTCCATTTCGACTGGAAAAGTAGAAGACCCTCTATTATTGACTTCATCTCTTCTTTCCAGTTTAGGGTTTTGGGTTGCACCACGTTTCAAGCTCAGAAATATGTGCGATTTGACAGCAGTCAGTCACACCACATCCAGCTATGCCGACGCTTATAATAAAGAGGCAACTAGTATTTTTTTGCTTTTGAGAACGAAGAAACTAAACCCTAAAACCTCTGTCATTTGATAGGAAAACAGCCTCAAATTTTATGCTTATGAACCCTAATATTATATGAGTTATTAAATTATTGACCTTTTCAACCATGAATTTATGGGTTTTATTTATTTCCCCTCTTCATTTTGCACATGGGTTTAATTTTCCCAATTATGGAGTCTTGACTATTTTGAGTTGTAAACAAAAAACGATAGTTAACGGGATCTAGTATAGTGAAAAATGATATTAAATTGCCTACAAGAGGTCACAAATTCGAACCCTCATGACACTTAGTTGTGTATGTGAGAAACCTCCTCTCATGTAGTTTAGATTATCGCTTGAAAAAAAAAAAAAAAAAAAAAAAAAAAAAAAAAAAAAAAAAAAAAAAAAGATATAAGTCCCATCTAAATCGATGCACAATATATATGTCCAAGTGCTTATCGAATTAATTAATGATCCATATATTCAAGTCCCCAAATGCAAACACATATTAGATTTAATTGCAACCTTATGAAATTACTCTACCAAATCATAGGGTTAGATTTCCCTCTTGCAGTTGAGCGTCGGATTAGCCATCAATGGACAATCTAACATAATGATGAGACGGAATTATACAATATATATATATACATATATGAATGTCTAGCGGATCTTTAATTTGCAGTGATAATTTCAGGTATTATACTTATGTTTCTCCATTGCAGCTGTCTAAGTTCTTGAAATTCAAGATGTGTATTATACTTGACGTATTGGTAGACAGTAGACATAATTGTATTTCATGAGGTACGCATGCAATATTATGATGATTAATTAACATAATTATATATATTATTAATCAATTTGAATTACTTTTTAAGATTTCATACTGGCAAGTAGCAAGGATATTCGAAGCATATGGTAGTGTACGAATTTTCCAAGCTCAATGATTTCAAACAGGGAAAGTATTTTTAAGATATGTTTCTCACAATCTTGTCGTGTACATGGAGAAGGATAATAATTCAGGTAAAAGATCTTCCGTAGTGGGCCTACCGAGCAAAATCCAAACATTTACTAGTTTCTTTCTTGGCTCTTTTTTAATCAGAAAAGAAGAATTTCATTTGATCATCAATGTTAGAATACAAATCAACATAAAACTGCATCCGATGATGCAATAAGTGTGGCCTCGTTAAAATGTTGCTTTAAAAAACCGCCGCATGGAGGAATTGGCTGCAGTCCGAAGAAGGCATTGCTTTGGCTACTACAATGGGATTTTCTGGCTTCTCTATTGGGTTGGATTCGCAGGAGGCAGTGACTTGTTTGAAGCCTAATGACATGTTCTGGAGCAATTTAGGGAATTTATTGACTGACATCAAACAACTTTTGGTTCTGAGTTGGGGGTAGGGGAGGTGTTTTTCCAACCTCGCCAAGTAAATAGAATGGCACACATTTTGTAGGATAGCAACGGCCGGTTTGGACTCGGATATGGGAGTATCATTCCCGTTAAGAATTTTTGGGAAGTATCCGTCCACATCCCCATCGGGGGCTAACTCCCAAACCCGCCATGAATTCCCCTTTTTTTTAATTAAAAAATTTATCCTACATTATAACACTTAATTTCACTTTAAAAAATTACCATTCAACTCAAATTACATTGGATTGAATTCTAAAATTCAACTCAATGAATCAAAATAATCTCAATTCAACAAAACTAAATAAATATGATATTATATTATATTATATTATAATATGTACATAGCTATATTATATTATTTATTACTAAAAACAAATATATGACTTATCAGGCCCGGTTCGAGGATGAGGATAACAATACCATCCCCGGCCTATCCCCAACTAGAGATTTTTAAATTCGAGATCCCTGTACCCGTCCTGATTTTCACACAAAATCTCCCTGTTAGAGTTGGAGACCCAGCCCAGCGGGGCACAACATGGGCTCATGGAACAAAACCTTATCGTTTGGGTACATGTGGAGCCATCAAGGCTCTTTCATCTTCTTGCTACGGATAGGAGGGCATTTTAGGAGATGTATTTTTTAGTTGGTTGTGATGCAGTGGTACTCTTTTTCTTAACCAATTTCTTGTAAACCAACACTACAAGGGGAAAAACATACACAGATAACTAACTAATGGTGTTGATTGAAATCGCTTAGTTGTAGCGTAAGTAGATCGATGTTCAAGCTCTTATGTATAGAGATGCTTGTGTAAATCCCGCCCTCTAAAACTTTGGTTGTACTTACCTTTTTCCTTAATAATATATTATCACTTTTCTGTTTAAAAAAAATAGCAAAGAAAATTCAATTAAAAAAGGAGTGGTATAAATCATGATCCTAAATCAATTTCCCTTCCTGTTCCCTTTCCAAAAAAAGAAATTAATTGGACTATTTGTGTAACCTATAGAGACCCTTGTGAGAGGGAGAGAAAGACAGACGTGCAAATAAAACGTTTAGTTTTGAAAAGCTAATGCTTAGCCTCCATAAACAGTATCAACAATGTAATATCTTCCTTCTAATGCTTGCTCAGACCCAACTTCCAAATGGGCATCATTTTCCCTAATAAAATTACATTTGGGTTTCACTTCCTTTTGGTGAAGCACGAGAGCCTCCAAGAATGGCAGACCAAGAAGCTGCCCCAAGGGCATAGGCTTCGGCATCATTACAACATTGGCTGCCACCTCCGGTGAGTACGACAATGACTTGGAAATCATTGGAACTGCACGGGAGATATCCGTTACCGGCAGTAGGCAATTGGCAAGCAGTGCATTTCCGGTTGCAGTGAAATAGTTGCCCCCGTAGTACTGTGGTGGAGGAATGCTGTCGACCGAATCAAGATCTATCTCGAAAAGATCGTCTTCGTCTTCCGTGTCTGCTACACCTTTACACAGTCCTGCTGTTGCATGTTCTGCAGAAGCAGAACCTCCAAGGAGAGAAGCCATGGTGTGGTTTTTTTTTAAGTTTCATAGATATGATTTTATACTTATATATATTATGTTAATATTTTGGTGTTTGGTGGTGAGGTTGGAGTTCAGGTGGTGAAGTTGGAGTTCAGGTGGTAAGTAGAACGCCCTTCAACAAATCTACAACGACAATAGAAGAAGGTGGAGGTTGGTCTTTTAAAGCAGCACGTCCCAAAGTCAAATCCCACGTATGCCTGATTTTCTTTTCGTACATAATTTTTCCCACTCTAAACCCACTCTACAAAAGGAAAAGAAAAATACAGAGCAGATATTTTAAATTACCAAATCAAAATTAAAATTTAACTGATCAAAGACGGAATTGGATCAGCCCAAAAATTCAAGGCAGAGATCCAGCATCACCATATACAATACAGTAAATGGAAGTTAGATTTTGTGTTTGTTTGGATGACCAGTTTCTTAACAGAACAAAGGGTATCTTATGTTAAATCTAGCAAAGCTCAAAACCAATCTTGATAAGGAGCTGTTGATTCAATATCTACCAAAACCACTAAAGTTTGCGCAGTAGACGACCTAACTACCTCAACAGAACAGAAGATATTCCACAGTTTCTCTAATATATAAAAAATGGAGCAACATCAGTTAGAGATTCATAAGTCAAAATCAACCTATCCTAAAACAGAAGACTCCAGCGTTGCCCAATTGGAGAAGCCAACAACACATTACTCTGCATTTAAACCTTTTAAGTTCAACAACCAAAAGCTATATTTACAGATATCTTCAGTAATTTCTCTCTTTTCTGCATCTTGAAAACTTATATATGAAAGCTTCAAGTTTCTAAAGCTTTGGGTTTTATAACATGGTTTCCAACCAGACAATGCTACACTTCCTGATATTTCTTTCTCAACTAACAATGGCATTGTCCGATTGGGTTCTATAACATGGTTGGTTTTTCATTGCAAGCTGCAGTATGCACCTCAAATGCCACATGGGTTGGGAAACAAAAGTTAGGGGAAAATGTTGGGCTATTAAGCATATTCCTTTACAAAAACCGAACCACAAAGAAATGTGTGGATCCTTCATTGCATGACTCTAGCCAAAATCTACTGCAGTATTTAATATAAGGCCCACTAAAACTTCCTAGATAGCACAGTTTAAAAGCATCATAAGGAAGAATTACCCTATAACCTACAGCTCTGTTAACCTAACAGCAAAGTTATTATCATTTGGGGCTTTCACTTTTGCACCTAACAAATAAGATGAGCCTTAGATAACTATGTTTCTGACAAATAAGCCAGGCCATTCTTTTACCATTTGATGCAGGCAGAGCTTTGTGTGTCTAGTCTGTACACCATCACACTAGGAAGTTGATTCACCTCAATCTCATGCTTGTGTTTTGTCATTGAGGCTCAGGCAAAATGTTGAACTACTAAAACAGAAACTCAGAAAGAACCCCAGATACAAACCTTTTTAATCCTTGTTTGTTTGCAAATATAGACGAGCAAATCCTAGGCTACAAAGAGGCTAGATGACAGAGCAACCGATATTGGACGTGAGCAAAATGAATCACCTAATTCATTTACTTATAGCACAATTAATCAAAACAACAACTACAAAGCAACATAATTGAGAAGATACCCAAATCCATTTCTAATAACCAAGTAAGTTGGGCCAAAAAACCAAATTCATTTCATCGTGATATCTCCATTTTCTACATTATCCCAACATACATTCTGAATGCTTCCAATCACAACATCACATATATCTAAATCCACAGCTACAGAGATGTTCAAGACATTCACTATCAACCAACCACCAAAAATTTGCAGAGTGTAAATCAATTGTTTCACAACCAATGCACTAAAATATCACAAGAAGCGAAAACAGAGTGTAAATCAAGAAACAAGCATACGCTATCAACCCGCGATGCTCATCACCACCGTCAGCAAGCGCAACCATGAGCCCCGTGCACACCCTCGTGGCCCACAACACAAAGACGGCAGCCACGGCAATCCTGAAGCTCCCGCCTTGGGGGACGAAGAGCGAGGCGGCCGATAAGATCACCACGGGCAGCATACAATACCCAATCACAGACGTACACCTGTGCAGGTCGAGATTGCCGTTACGCCCAGCCAACATGTTGAAGACGATGTAGAGGAAAATGGAAGAGACGACGATCCATCCGAGGATGACGCCGAACTGGATTTTTCCCGCGAGGAGTTGGAAGAGGCAGAGAGACATGTAAAGGAGGATCGGGCCGGAGAGGTCTGAGTCCTTGTGGACTGCCGGGTTGGAGCGGAACGGGTTGAGAATAGACTTGGTTTTTCTCCAGATTTGGTCAGGGTGGATGCCGAGCTCGTCGAGGAGGGGCTCTTCGTCCTCGAAGGAGGCGGAGCCGCCAGGGATGGAGGAGGAGCCGATCGGGCCTCCGAAGAGGGAGGAGGAGGAGGAGGCGGCTGCGGCGGAGCCGATGTCGAAGGACATGAAGGGGATCGAGGAGGTGGAGGAGCGCGGGGGTTGAAATGGCGCCGTCGCGACGCGGCGTTGTTGGATGTTGTTGGATCCGACGGCGCTTGGGTTCCCACCGGAGGGGAACACCACCGGAGGTACAGCGAACTGCTTCGTCATTTTGGGATCTGCAGATTTGGGGATTTTTGGGGTGGGATTGATTAGGGTTTTGAGAATTGGGGGATAGAAAGAGAAAGGTGGGGACGAAGGAGTAGGAGTTTTCGAGCGAGGTGAAGAGAACAGTTATTACGCAGCAAAGCGGTTTGTATTTGGGAAGGGACTAAGGGTATTTCCGACCTTTTCACTGTGAAGTTCGGTTTATTGATGGTGAGCTTCACCGCGCGGCACTGGCCAGGTGACGATTTTGGTGTTTGATATTACTTTCTTGGCCTTCAACTATTTTGTATGAAACTTTCTTGCTCTGTAAGTCTTGAGTTATTGGGAAAAGAGTCTCTTGAGGTAACTGAAATTACAAAAAATGTTCTAATTCAAAAATAATACACTCCTTTGTCTTCAAACCCAGACTAACATCTTCGCACGCAAGCCGCACTTGTGAGAGGTTTTTTTTTGAAAAAAAAATTAAATTTATTTTAGAATTAAAAGATAATGGGTAGTTGTGTTCCATAAAAATAGGATCCATTATTTGATTTTTTTTTTAATTTTAATTTTTTTTAAATATTAAAAAAGTGTGAATTTACCATATTATCCTCATTTAATTAATAATTTCAATTCTTAATGTTCGCATTAACCAATGGCATTTTTTGATATTTTGAATGTTTCACCATTCTCTGCCTTTTGCTTTATATATATAGTTTATATATATAGATTCTAAGTACCCTACCACTAAAATTAAATTAAAATATTTACCCAACAAATTAAAATGAAATCTAATTAAATTTTCTTGTTAAAAAAAAAGAAAGACTTCGAAAAATATTGCGGGTAACAAGTTAACATACGTTACATTTTTCTAAAGCAAACTAATCGAGTTAAGTTGTAGGTCTAAATCAAAGATTTAATGGCATTTCTCATGGCCCAAAAGCTTGGATTTTGACATTGCAGTCTCCATGCTTCCTAATTTTGTGGACTTTGACATTACAATCTCTATGGTCGACACCACATCGATACCTCTTAATTTTGACAACTTTTTTTTTGTTATGTAAAAAACCCATCACAGATATCACTTATCAAATCTTGTAAAAGATATGAAGGTCTTATTAGGGAAAAATAAGATGTGTACATAAATATTTGTCCTATGAATAAAATTGACAATGAAAGATTGGGGAAGAGAAGCTTATTGGTGACCCATAGGGCCCATAGAGGATCATTGCTTTGGGCTTTGCTTGACAAGAAAGCAGCATAAACAAAAGTAAATGGAAGAAATTCCAAGTAGCCCCCTCCCCTCCAAGCAGTCGGCAACTAAAAAAACCAGAAAAACCTCGAAAATCAATCTCAATGATAAACAACAGTGAGTGGAAGTCTCTCTCTCAACTCAAAATGGACGGCGGCGGCGTTTCGAAGGCAGTGGCGGTGGTGGCTTGCGCCGCCATGGCGTTGTTCTACGTTGCAATTCTCTATGCCCCGACTCTAATCCTTCGTCTTCCTCCTCCCCCTTCCTTCAAGAACTTCATGATCCGACGGTTCATATGCGCCGCTATTTCTTCCGTCGTCTCCGTTGTCGTCTCTGCTCTTCTCCTCCCTGTAAGCTCCACTTCTTCCCTACCTCATTTTCGCTTTAATTTCTCATATTCAACTGATCCAGTATGGATCTTCAAGTTCTTTGATTGTTGGGTTTGAACAATGGCTGCCCAGCTCTGTAACTAAGCTCCTCTCTAATAGAATTTAGCTTAAGGTTATGATTGGATTTCTTGCGTTTCGACAACTTTGACTGTGATATGAAATTTTTGAAATTGTTACTCTTCCTTGTTTGCTTATTTATTTTCTGTTACTGGGTACAATTATATGTAGACCATTAGCAATTTTGTTATGGGTTTTGATCAGAATAGCTCACTTTGTTCACATTTTTTAATAATGTCAGATGAAAAGCAGAGAGGCGTCATCTCTATTAGGTGTATACGGCATCCGAATGGACCATATTGTGAGTATTATTATGCTAAGATACAATCTTGATCTTGTTGGCTATGTTTCTTTCTCTTTAATATCGGTTTAATGCTTGCCTGAAAAAAGCAGCCGTTCTTCTCTCTGTGGTAATCTGGAATTTAAATTCGTGTATGATATGCAGATTTGGAACGGTCAATGCTTGCTAAAATTTGCATGCTGAATTGCAATTTTATGTATGAAACAGTGGCAAGCTGTGATCTTTCCTCTTACATTGACTGCTCTTATGTACGGTGGATCCTTGGTCCTCAAGTCTCTATTATTGATGAGTGCGTTGAGGGAACACATGAATTTTGGTGGAGGCCTTTCGTTCAACAATATCAAAAGTTTCTCCAAAGAGATTGTTGCCTGTTCGCGTTCAATAGCTTCTGATGTTTTGGTTTGGCGTACTTATGTTGTGGTTAGTGGCCTTGTATTATTTCGTGGTGAACTAGTTTATTTATTTATGTACACTTTATAATGAATATATTTGATGTCAACTTTTCCTGCTTTGTAAGTGAGATTATCATGCAATGGAGATATAGAGTCTTTGGATTCAGTTGGTTGAAACATAAAGCCTGGCATCACTTCATTGACAGTATGTTTTTAACAGGCCCCGCTTACTGAAGAGTTGGTGTTTAGAGCATGTATGTTACCTTTACTTCTCTGCGGAGGATTCCAAAAGTCCACAGTCATCTTTCTCTGCCCCATTTTCTTCAGCTTGGGTAAGTTAAACAAATGTCACTTCTTGCAGATATTAAATGTCTATCATCATCGAGGTTGGTAATTAAGCAGGATTTCTTATAATTTCCTGCAGTCTGGTGATTGTGTATTAATTGTTGATAACATTTATGCCTGATGAATTTTTAAGTTTTGGATGCTGTTCATGAGCAAAGTATCATGCTTACTGTTTGTGTCTGTTGAAATTCATGCATGTGCTTATATGGTCTAACCATAAATTCTTTATAATTGCTCTGGATTAAATTCTAAATACCTGTGATGATTCACCCTCAACTGAAAAATGACAAACCAGTCTGTCTTCTGGTTACTTTTGCTGTCTCTGAAATTCCCAAGTTTTTGCAGCATAATCACTTCAAGTTTTCCATTGTATGCTTATATAAGTACCCATTATGACATTTCCACTTAAAATAGAATAATTTTCTTTCATATGTCACATTAAGTGACTGAACTGGCATGATTATTTTTTGCAGCACATTTAAACCATCTAAAGGATGTCTATAGCAAGCAAAACTACAACTTGACCAAAGCCTTCCTGGCTATAGGTATTCTCAACTTTTCTATCCTTGCATTTGGATGGACACAAAGATTTCAGCCTAGAAAATGGGTAGCACTATGCAGTTGCATTATAGAATCCCCTCTTCCTCCTCTCCTTCAGTAACTTAACCTGTGGTATTTTCAGTTCTGGAGTTTCGGGGATCACTTCCATTTTAAAATTGTATGATTTTCAATGTGATACTCAATTTATGGAAGATAATTTTGTCAGGTCTCCAGCTTGGCTATACCGTGGTCTTTGGCTCCTATGCATCTTTTCTCTTCATTCAAACTGGTAAGTGATTGTTGACACTTTGCCACATTATTGTTATTGTGTCACTCATCCTTGACGATAGGATTTTGTGTTATATGCATTTCAAAACAGTACATTATATGGTGTGTATGGGCAGCCTTTTCATTTCCTCTTTTTCCCATGAGATACGTTTCTATGTCTTTGATATGTGTCATATTTATTTCATGCAGGACATTTTCTTGCTCCTTCAGTTGCTCACGCATTTTGCAATTTTATGGGACTGCCTGTGCTAGTTTCACGGGGAAAAGGTATGCAAGTAAAGTTTCTTAACCAAATGCCTACCTACTAACCAAAAAATGCATACCTGAGAAACCAAAGAATGCACATGTAAACAGTATTATTTGTGATTTTGTGTCTCACATATGTTTGATCATACTCCAGAAACTTGCACAAGTGCTGTTAGTTATTAACGAGTGTAGATCCGTACTACTTTTTTTTTTTTCTTCTTTTCATCATCATGAAACTATTTCATGAAACTTGGGTGTCTGCACATAAATAGTGAAGAGATCATTTTAGATTCTTTTATCTTTTATTTTCCGACATGGAAAGTCAATCGTGTAAATGGAGACGGGAAGGAACCTTAAGGATTGTAAGAAACCACAATAAAATGATCCATTCAAATGAAAAGAAGAAATAGGAAAGTTATAACTCTATCTTTGGGCTTAGGTTCAATGCTGCTCGCAGTAGAACAGGACATAATGTTAGGTGCCCCATGGAAATTGCACTCGAGGTGGGCATGCATGCAGCTCTAGAGTCTGTCCTGTTCACACAGGAGAAGACTTAAGCCAAAAAATTTCCTTTCCATAAACCCACCCTGGACCTCCTCAGGATGAAAGTTTAGATGTATCACTAAAAGGCCCTCTAGTCCTTTGTTGTCACCACATGGCTGTGTGTTTTTTTAGCTCTGTTGTGTTAGTTCAATTCTTGATCAAAGCTCATCTTTGCCTTCATTATTGTTCCAGGGATAGTAAGTGTGGCATCTGTAGCTGGAATTGTGGGTTTCCTGTGGCTTCTTTTTCCAATGACTCGCCCAGAGTTGTATAACAATAGAACAGATAATTGCGTATGTTGGCAAGGATATTGTTCTGGGAACTAAGCCTGTGAAATCTTCAGAGTAAATAGGTTTGTTTAACCTAAAATCTTTTGTAGCATGATTCTGTATAACATGGATGTTGTTTCTTCAGCTATAAAAAAAGAAAAAGAAAAAAGATCTCATCAGCTCCAGGAAAGATAAATACGTAACAAACACTAATTGTTTAGCTTATCATTTTCTAGACTTGAAAATAATTTCTCAACTTGTTCTATCTTTCTAGAATACCAAATGATTCACTTTCTGAAGGTGGTATTGCAACTTTAGGCCTTTTCTTTTTTGAATTACTCTTCCTTGATTATTTTATGTTTGGACCACATTCTTTACCACAAAAAATAGTGAGATAGTGAGTTAATCTACATTGACATTCTACTATTTTTTTGTATTATTTATTTTAATTTTTCTGGTTATACTGGTGTTTAGTGCTTAATGCTTACAAGAAACAACTTCCAAATGGTTTATTAGGGAAATTATTAGTTGCACTTTCATTTTTTCCTCTTACCCTAAAAATATCTTCAAATTTTCTATGAAGCTTGCAATAAGATCAGGGAGGCTAGAATGAGGGGTTATAAAAAAGGGGTCCTTAATAGCCGCCCTATTCATTGCAGAGTTATTATTGGACTGTTAGATTGAACCTCTTCATTGTAACCCCTCAACATAGTCCCTCATTAGAGAATTCTTGCATTATAGAAGCTCCCACGATAAGATTGCCCGACCCTTCATATAGATCTCAAGTGGTCTCTCTGTCCATCAAAGCTGGGCCCTGGATTGACTTGGGTTTGACCGTACATAGTTGATCAATCAACAGTAGTTAGAACTGGTCCATCATCAACTAAATGAATAGCCCACAATCTAATAATCCACGGGCTACACACCAATGGCTCTTTTGGAAGTTAGCTCATAGATCGTGTTCATGGGCCCACTTTCTTTTTATTTTTTAAAATAATTATAAATAAATAAAAGGGAGTTTCACTAAAACACCCAAAATAGGGGTTGAAATTATAAAAAAACTCAAGCACTATTTAAACATATAAACACACCTAAAACCCATCATTACACACATTCAAAATCCATTTATAAATACACCCAAAAAGTTGACTTTGGGGTTGATTTTGGGTGTGTTTCTATGTTTAAATAGTGCTTGGGTTTTTTTATAAATACATGTCTAGGATTGGGTTTATTTATAAATTTGTATAAATAAAATTGTCGGCATTCTTTACCTATGTCATTGTTGCTGAAATTTGCCAACATTTGTGAGAAAAAAAAATCCTAAATCCATTACTGTTAACACAAATTAAAACTAAAAACCACTTGCTCGTAATCACAAAACAAAGGAAAATGCCAGGGAAAATCACTCACCCACCTTGCGTAACAGTCCTCGGAGGGAAGGAAGCAGAAGCATATGCCCTTCATTGCTAGAAGATCAACAACATAAAGCTTCCCCCTCACAATGGTGCCCTAAACTTGTTTGAGAAACCTTGTAACCAGATTCTTAATGATCCCCTAAATGAGCCAAGAAATGCGATATGGCATGATTGTTGGCTTAGGCAGGTCAAAATATCATTGGAGGTTAGATGTATGGATGGATTATGGAATGTTCCATTAACAATGTTGAAACAATCAAATCTATTAAGCACTTTAGAGGTCTAATCGTTTGGGCCAACATCAAAGGGACCTTTATTTTCATACACCTTCCAAATTCAAACGTCTTAGATATTGTTATGATGACCAAAATCTTAAGGATACGATGTCAAACAAGGTCAATGCTGGTGACCAAAACCAACCCTATTTCATGGTTTTGGGGTGTTCTTTTTTTTTTTTTACCAATAAATTTGTGGGTCTGAATTTTTATGTATTGGCTATCATAACCATGGTGCTCTTTTCAACCTTGAAATTGATTTTGCTGAGTTGGTGATGTGGTAAGGTGTCATAGCCATAGGTAGGGTTTGTTAGACGCATTCAAGTTTTGATTAGACATTCTCTCTTTATGTTCTTCTTCTTCTGATAGATTTTGTTTTGTATGATGGTCAACTTAAAAGGATATACAGATGCCAACAGACGACGAGACTTATGTCATTTCCATGACTTTGATATTTGATATTGTGGGTTACCACTTTTATTTATTTATTCATTTATTTTATTGTTTTTCAAACTTCATGAACCCATATTGACTTTCTATATGCTGAATCTTTTGAGGACGTTTCCTCTGATTGGATCCTCCCATCACCTGTCTTCTCTTCTCAGATAGCCACAGAATCTGCATGACAAGTTTTCAAATTAAAATATATATAATCCTTTCTGAAGAGAAAGAAAAACAATCTGTTCTATTCTATCAAACTAAGCAGTAAGTGGTAGGGTTTTAGCTGCACCGTTACTGGTGCTTCATGGTGCTTACTCTGTTTTTTTTGCCGTATAAATTATAACCCTCATGTCAGAACCAGTTTGTCAATTAAGAAACTTGGGTCTGTACGCATGCATGATTACTTTCCCATGTGATTTACCGTTTGACCATCTATTTCTTCCATTTTCATGTGATTTTTTTTAAAGGATATTAAAGTGAGAATTAAAGGAGATGTTATCAGGTTTTTTGACAGCAAATAGCAGTACAAAAATGAGAACTGCACATTTGAAACTTCTTACTTTTTAGTTTGGTTAACACTGCACTTTGATTTTGTGATAAAGTGGGGAAAGCTATCAGTTTATTTTTTCATTGAATTGGATTATGAAGCTCATGAGATAGATTGCATAATCTGATGTCTTGTATATCAATTGGTGTAGAGCACTAGTTCCAATTTGGATACTCAGTTGAAACAGAGAGAGAGAGAGAGAGAGAGAGCTACAATAAATATTATATTTCTTTCTAGCAGATAGCTTGATACATCCTTGTAGACCAGAAATTTTTATATCCTAAACCCCCCAAAAAAGAGAAAATAGCATAAGATAAGGAAATAGAAGAAGCATAGGTATCCTTGGTACAAAGATACACTAACCACTTTGCCTCTATGTATCTAAAACTGGAACAACTACCACTTTTGACTAAAAAATATTACACAAAAAAAGCTAAGTCCTAGTGGGGTCATGATATTTCTATCCAGCTAGCTATATGTCTTAGTTGCTGGAACTAGAAGGATTTTGGGTGGAGCTGGAGCTGAGATTGAGGTCAGGAATATTGTTGTTTGCTGCTGCATTGGCTTTTGAGTTTGTCTTGGACAGCTTCTGCTTCAGCTCAGAAAGCAGAGCTTGATTCTCCTGGTTGAGAAGCTGTGCTTTCTTCCTCAGCCTCTCATTCTCTTTCATTATGTAGCAGTTCTGCAAGTACAGCTTTGAGTTCAGCCTTTCCATTGCTGTGAATTTTTTTTGGGTTTTCTGTGATGATGCTTCTGAAACCAAAACAACAAAAAGTATCAACACAAGAGTATCTCAGATAATATTTTTTTATTGTCATAAACATTTGTATATTAACACATGGAGACACAAACATTATACTATATTTTAAATCAATCTTAATATATAAAAAAAAACAGAAAATAGAACAAAACATACAGAAATAAGAAGAACAAAAATGCTTGTTTTTGAGTGCCTAGAGCTTTAACAAAATGAATGAAACAATAAACCTATTTGAATCCAAGAACAGTTACCCCAAAAACAGATTACAATGTGCTTTCTGCACTGCTTTTACTGGAAGTACTTATGACAGTTTTACAAAAGAAGGTGATGACAACAGGGGAAAGCAGAGCAGGTGGTGGCCAAGAGCAACTTATTAACAAGTTTTGGACCACTATGGTAGATTTATATATATATTGTTTGCTAGGGAAGAAAAGAGAGATGGAATCATAAGTAGTCTAAAACTGCACTCAATGAAAAAATGGTCTCTTTCGGCTTCCCGTACATGAAAGAAAAGGATCAAAATCCTAAAATCAGATTCAAACTGCAGAGACTTCAACTTCTCTGTTTCATTAAAAGAGCATTCACAAATACAACTCTTACCCTTTTGCACAATCAAGAAGATGGTATGATCAAAAGTTTTAATTTTTTTTTAAAGAATTAAGAAAATGAAAATAGAAATATAAGTTCCACAGGGTGCCATGGAGTGTAGAGAGAGACAAACAAACCGTTTTTAAAATTAAAAATTAAAAAAAAACAAATGTTGGAGAATCCAAGGTGTGAAACATTCTAAAGGCAGACATTCTCTCCTCAAAATGAGGTGTGGAACAGACAAAGAAGAAGAAACCAATAAAACCCAAATGTGAACTCACTCGTCTAGCAATTCTGATAAAAACCCAAGAAGGGCCTCTGGAACATGAAAAATAATCAAGAAAAATAAGAACAAGAAGAAGAGACAGAGAGACAGAGAGAAATATATAGAGATAGATAAAATGAATAAAGAAGTCACCTTTAGGAGGTGGTTGGTTAGAGAGAGAGAGAGAGAGAGAGAGAGCGCTTTGGGCCGAGGAAGCAATCTGGTTTGTAACAAGAAGTAGCAGTGGAAAAAGGAAGAAGTTGGTAGTGAGGGACAAGGGGAACAAAAGAAGGCCTTAATTTATAGAGCCAAACTACAAGAGAGAAAAAGAGCTTGTGAGAGAGAGAGAGAGAGAGAGAGAGAGAGAGAGAGAGAGAAGCTCATGAGGGAGGAGGGGACATGCCCCTCTATCTCTGACACAACAATCATGCATGTGTAAGCATGGAAGGCGGCCGGTTAGGAGGCCTAAAAGATTTTAAGTGTTTTGGGTTTTCTCTTCTATGAATGATGATGAATATGGCGTCATGTGAATGATGATGGTTTTTTGGGTTTTGCAGCATAGAGAGAGAGAGAGAGAGAGAGAGCTAGGGGCATTTTGGTCATATAAAAATGGCATTATGGATATGAAGAAGGGACAATTATGGGACTTATGGCTAGGGCTTGTAAAATGATGGTGGGCTAGGCCGTCCCAAGATTCGCAATGATGGTTTGGATTGGGTTCTAAACCATCATCACCACCCCCTCCTCTCCCTCCACATCCCTCTCCTTCCATCATCAATTACTCTTTTGTTTTATTTATGCTCCTATTATTTTTGTCCCTCCATTTTCTTTTCTTTTTTCCCATTTTATTTCATTATCTATTTTCGTTTGTGTTCGGAACTGTTGGCAATAATAATAATAATAATAATAATAATCAATTTAAGCCATTATGGTTTTTTTTTCCCTTCCCTCCATTTTTGTCATTTTTTGGTCAAGAAATCTTACCTGCTATATTGTATCTTTTGGGTCATATCAAAGATTGTATCATCCACATAGGGACAAATTTGGTATAAACCAATTTATTCATTTATGCTATTTTTTAATACTGTTATGTTCCTAGAGCTAGAGGCGTGTTTTTGTGAAAAACCCATTAACCCAAATATGAATCCAAGCTTCAAAAAAAGGTGGTTCCAACAAAAAGAAAAAGGTGGTAGGGGATTAACTTATAGCAAAAGACTCGTAGGCCTTTGGTCCTATGAGTTATTTCCAACCCTAACACACACAAAAACAAAAAAAATTAAAAAAAATCAAAATCAAAATGACCATTTTGCCCCTGCTAGATAACTTGCACGTTTTGCACCATCAATGTTGTTTTGTTTTACGTTATTAGAATCATAATTATTAGGCCAAGGGTAGTAAAGGAGGGTTTTTTTTTTTTTTTTTTGGTTGTCAAAATTAGGGGGTTGAGCTTGAAATAATGGTGAGGGAGGAGGGGGGGGTAGGGGCCAAGCCAAGCCTTCATGGGTTATGAGTGGTTTAACGTGAAACATCATGGTTGACAGGTGGTGTTTTGGAAGGGTCTATGGGTGTAAGGGTATAATTGTCCATCTGGCTTTGTTGTCCCTCGTGGAGCTCGTTCATTTCACTCCTCATTTGCGGCTCTGCTTACATCAATCTAATTATGGGTTTCAATCCATGGGCTGGCAATGCTGGAAATGACCATTCTGACCTCAACGGTTTTCTTTTTCAATTTTATCAAACCTTATTGCGACAACGTTCCTCATAAAGTTAAATGTTTCGACTTTATAATTTCATATTTCGATTCCAATATGATTACAACTAATGTCAAATTGATCCAAATGAGATTTTAGCAATACATGAAATAGTTCAATGTTGGGTCAAGTTTGGGCCCAATGGGCCTCACCAAGTTGGTATCAAACTTCGGGTTAATAGGCCAACGACACTTTTGCTTTTACTTACGACACGAACACTTAAGACACTCACCAAAAACTTAAGTGTTCGAGTCGAGCTTTATCATGTCAAGTTCATAACATGTTGACACAATAATAATACGATTATTAACAAGTCGTATTGATGTTCATTCGCAAAACATGTTAGTGGCATGTTATGTTTGTGAAATACTAGGTTCTCCCCTGTTGGCGAGATGAGTTTCTTGTAGTTAGCCTCGCCTTCACTTTCTCTGTTCTTGGGCACTTTCTACAAATTTTTTATTGATTCTTTTGCTCTTTTCTTGCGGTGGTTGTAATTGAACCACCAACTGAGCTTTGATGAAAGTTAGATGAAGAAGGTGGCGGTTTTGGGCGTGAATTTCTCTGAACTCCTATGGTTGAACATGGGTGGGTGGTTTCTCATCATTTACCATTGTTTTGTTTTGTTTTTTTTATTACGATAATAACCTTTATGGAATCATCCGATTGCTTCAATGTGTTAGCTTTCTTTTTCTGCTTGAGAGGTATTTTTTGCTAAACGTTTTTCATGCATGCCTTTGTTACTTTTTTTTGGACATTTGTTAGGTAATGTGTTGGACATAACTTCTTTTTTTTTGGGACGTTTGTTAAAAATCTACAAGATACCATTTAAAATCTCATGACATATTATTTTAACATTCTCGTACCAGACAATTTAACATACTATATTATTCAATTTTTAGTTAAAACATCTGATTTTGAATATGGCATTCTAGTTAACAAAATGTCATGGTTAGTTAATCCCTATTGATATTTGGGGTAAATTCGATTGATACTCCTTGATGTTTGATGCTATAAGTACGAAAGTTCCTTTTACTAATTTATTCCCCTTGAGATCTTAAGCCACGATTAAATATAAAAAATAAAATAAAACCCCCAAAACGTAAGGTAATTTTTTCACGTGTTACTAATCGAAAATAGCAAAATAGTGTTATTCCAATTACATGTAAGTTTTTTTTTGCCACGTGTGATGTGCCAGGTCATATCCACCCGTCATTCAAACTATGATCCGGTCAACTAAAACATAAGGGCAAAAGGGTGCTCTGTAGAGGTCTGCAAAGAGTGGACTCAATTTGACTAAGTGTGTAATGAATCCCAGCCTTACAAATCTTAGGTCTGAAACAACCAATGATGGCCATCCCCAACAATAATGGTTCTCTTCCCCTTTGTAATAATCCTTCCCTTCAATTCAAACCCATCTTAAATAACCATCTTACTTTTTGCAGCAAAATTTGAGCCACCCTTTTAATACCAATTCAAAAGAAGAAATAAAAAAAACCAACCAGAGAGGAAATTGAAGAACGGGGTTTCATGATTCAATTGGGTTAGGGTTTTGTTTGCTTTCATAAATGCCTTATGGCAGTGCTCAAGAGATTTTGCATGGTCACAGATAACAGGCATTCATGAACCCCCATCATCATGCACATTGCCTATAATTACCATTATGCACAGTACCCTAATTTTACCCAAACAAAACTTATGATTGCCTCACCCCTGGTGAAATTTAGACAGCTGACCCCTGCAATTTGATTGGATGGCATTGATTTCTTTATTGTTGAGAAAAGCAAAATGCTAAACTATTCTAATGTACAGAGAAGGGGATTGAATCCATACAAGAGCTGTCTTGACTAACCAACATAACCCGCATTTGCGGATATGACATTGACTTAAGACACGTGAAAGGTTAAAGATTTTCATAATTTGCCCAAATTAATCCCTTTAATCATGGGTTGGTTTGTGTTCTTATCTGATCTACGGGTAATGGGAGTTGAGATTAATTTGAAAGAGCTCATGGGGTTTCAGGGGAGGGCATATGACCTCATCAACATGGCAAAGCCTTTAAGACCAACTTTCTTCTTTATTTTCTGAGGTCGTTTTTAATGATTTCACATAATTCCAATTCCTGCATGGCTAATGATGAAATTCTACATTATTATGGTTAGTAAGTGCATTGAACCCTACACGTGAGCTAAGGAAGGGGTTTGATAATTTTAACTTTTAGGGTGGTAATTTGTTTTTTCTTTTCTTTTGGGACCACACGTGTAAGAGAAGATCATCGACAACCCTGTTTTTTTTTCTTTTCTGTCTTCTGGGTTCTGGCCTGAATCTATACATCACTGATTGAATCCCCTAATGAGTTCACACGGTTATAGGCTTATAGCCCCATAGGTGGGGACTAGAGTATTTGCAATCTGGATCTTGTTCCACCCATTCTCAGTTCTAATTGGATGCTTGTTACTTTGATGGATAACTTGTTGAAAAGCATTGTTTTATTTCTAGTTGAAACATGAATTAGAGATTGTGAATTTGATGTTAATTATATCTCTTGTAGGGGCGAAACTCGTAATCAGTAATGACAACGGGAGTGAGATTGTATTTTTCACTATACGAAAAATGCAGGTGAAATTCGTTATAAGAAACAACGGGAGTAAAAGATTATGCTTTTTTAATGTAAGAAGAATGCACGAGAAATAAAAGAAACTCATTTTGAAGTGCAAATAACATCTCATAAAATTTCAAATAAAATATTCCAAAAAGTCTCACCCTCATAATCTTATATGAAAGAAGTTCCCTTCAATATAGAACACAAATAGATTAAAGAGCACTCTTTAAAATTCTTAAAATAGACCATGTTATGTGAATGTGGAAGTCCTACATAACATAGTCTACTTTTAGCGTTTAGGCGCCAAAAACAATAGGACCAGCCCTCGTTAAACCCTCGTTTATCAGTGGATACCTACTTAGTGTAGGTTCCATTTTGGTGGAACCCACTTAGATAGGTGGATCTCATGTAGTTTCTATTTTTATGACCAAAATAGTTACGTTTAAGAAGTAATCTCTAACCCAAAAAGCAATGAAAAGCAAAGCAAAAAAGGGTAACAGTAGTACCATTCAGTACTTCAGCAAAAATTTTGTCACCCAAAAGAAGATTAAATGGGAAAGTGTACGTTCAAACTCCGGGAACCACCGAGAACTCAAATTGAGCGGGAAGATTTGGAGTGGATGAAACGATAGGTGCAAGTAAGCGTAGCGAATCACATAGATAAGGCTCTAGATGCCAGCGTGTAGAGATAAGATGAGCAAAGTTCGAAGAGAATGGATGTTTGAGCGGTTGAAAGAGTCGGTTTGGAAAACATAAGTATTGATAGGAATACAGGGGTTCGAATCCTTCTCTATCAGCGGAGTCATAAATAATATGTTACGTTATCTATAGATAAGAACGTATCGGGAAAAAAAAGAAGAAGGAAGAAAATAAAGAACACTTGAGGTACAAAAATTCTCTCATATAGCAGAACAAAAATATAACATAAGTTCTCATCATATGAAACAGTTTCTCCAAATTATAAAGGCCTCTCTTTTCTTATCTTTTTTTACTTTATGTAAAAAGTGATGCTGAAGTTGATTTGGCAAAGCCACCAACTTTAGTTGGAAAGACGTATCATTAACTGAACAAAATCATCTCCATCCGTGGACTAAATTAAACTGCCAAAACACAAAGAGGGGCCATGATCAAGTGTAAGCCTATCTCACAAAATGATGGTTTATCCAACAAATCCTAACACAAATTATCATTCACTCTGGTGGACGAAACTACAACTTCACATCAGACCTACAGTTTTCCTAAGCAAGAAAATTATAGCCACATTTGACTTTTCTTTAATTCTTTTTGCTTTTAAAAAACATCGTCATGAATCCAAAAGAATGGTGCTCAAATTGTAGGAGGCATGTTAATATGGCAGACTATTATTGCAAAGTGAAAACTCATACCCAATTGCATTGATAGGACAGAAAATGACGACTCTATCAACAATTTCAACTGGGTTTTTCATTACTATGCGAATCTGATCATTTTTTTTTCTTGGGGATATCATATGGGGATGGATTTTGGTTGAAATTTTTGTTGGCTTCACTGTCGCGGAAGTCAACTGCTGATCCTTTCTTCCACACAGTCATGATCAAATATTGCCACATTTAATTTAATTTAATTGTCCAATCCAACATGCCCACTTTTTATTTTTATTTTTCAAAGTTAAAAGGAGGGAGGAGGGGATTTTTCTCACTCACATACTGATGTACTGCCAAGAGATCATGAAGGTTTGAATACGAGATCACTAAGCTAGACCCTATCGACGAATCAACATGCCCAGTTTCATTGCAAGAGATTTTGGGATTTTTGGTGTTGGACTGATTCATCTGCAACACGATAAGAAATGTTTAAGCCAAAGGAGTGGACATGAGCAAAGTTATGGTTTGAGGGTTCGGGCTTGCCCTAATGTAAGAAATTGGGTCAGGGTTGTTGGGCTTGCCCTAACAAGGAAAGCATTTGCTTATTTCTACCTTCGGCCTTTATAAATGCATCTAAAGATCCATGCACTCATTACCCAAAACAATTTTATTTGGCCCTCATTATATAAGACAAATGGCCTCTGGCACTTGAGTTTAGTTTAGGTGTTTTTTTTCCTTTTAAAATTATATTTATTTATTTTATTTAAAGAATGTTTTTAAGAAAAAGTGTAAAATTTATTAAATAAAACTGAAAAAGAAAAAAAAAGATACTAGACCTTTGAATAAAGAAACTTCATTTGCTTTTTCATTTGATTATTTTAATTGGATTGGGAGGAACATGAATATTATGCAATTTAATATTACAATTTTAATTTTTGCAGGCAGGATCAGAGGAGAGGCTTGTGAGCCAAATGGAGTCACTGGCAACTGCCTCATCATCTTCATTCCTATGCCATGTCCACTGTGCATGAGTTGCATTTGCCACCACTAATTGCCCGTGCCCAAAGCTGGCCTCCCTGAAAACCGATATTTTGGGTTGCGGATTCTTATACCTGTAAATATATTTAAAAAAAATTATACGTATAAATCGGCAGAAATTTAATAATAAAATGATTAATTAACAAGTAACTATGAAATTAAACCAACTTACTTGCTAGCAAGACCTTCACGGTTGCCACCATCTCCAATGGTAATATGCACTGGACCACAATTATTGGCTTCATCCTTGTAAACGCGGGTCTAAAGTAGAACAATGAAATAATTAGATGAGACCATTAATAACAAAATAAACGAAATCAAGTAATCGGATCCCGAACCGATACATTTTCTTTAATTTCTTATTCATCTTTTTACAAACGATATGATATTTACATAAAGGAACATGTTCTGAATAAGTTAATACGTTTATTCGAGTAATGGAATGGTAAAGGGATCATGTTAAAATGTAGGATCTATTTGTGAATTACATTTATGTTATGTTTGATGATCTTGTCATTTTAGCATTGACACCTTAATAATGTCTAATGTGATCTGTCTAGCATTTACTCGTAAATTATAAACTCGAAAAATTTGAAGAAGAAAACTTACAAAACGCTCATATGCATGTACATGGCCAGCAAAAACAACATCGACACGAGCTTGATAGAGCAGATCTTCCATGGCGTCCTTCATGTCAATAGATTCAGATTCACCCTGGTGAGCCTTGTTAGAATTGTACCAAGGAGCATGGATAAGCACAACGATCCACGGGGTCCTTCCCCTATCCACCTTCCCCAAATCTGTTTGCAACCACTGGTACTGGGCAGAAGTAGGATCAAAATCAGTGTACGACCCCAACATGATCACATGAACTCCAGCCACATCGAATGAGTAGTAGAGGTTCGAATCCGAACCACTCTCTTCGTACGGCATGTGCCACCTTGCATTGTACGCAGTGAAGGCATGAGTGTGTAGGACGGGGATTTTCTCGATTTCGTGATTGCCTTGTGTCACCATCCAAGGCCGCTGGCTTGCCAAGGGCTGCACCAGACGGCCAAATGAGTCCCATAAAGGTTGGTCGACGTCTGCATAGGATAAGTCTCCTGGTAGCATAAACATGTCGTGGTTTACTTTGGATATGTGATCGAGGGTTGATTTAGTCCATTCAGTTTGCCCAAGATCACCTGCAAAAAATGCACATTATTATTAATTTTTTTTTAAAGAGAAAAATCTACATATATAGAATATAGTGTATTGTATTAAGGTAACACGATTTTACAATTTGGACCGAATTTACGGATCACCTAATTAACGCGTTAGTCAAGTCTACATACAGTGTACCACAAAACAAATATCTACACATCCTCCTTTAATTTCCTTTATTGGCTAATCCCCTGATTTTTTTTCCTTTGATCTATCATTTCCAAATATATACACTTTACTAAACGCATCCTAATCTTCATATTTTAACAAAAACTCACTTACGTCTGCTTTTATCCTTTGATCTATCTTTTCTAAATATACACTTTATACTAAATGGCATCCTAATCTCTTCATATTTTAACAGAATTCACTTACAAATATATAGTTAGAGCAATAATATTGTCTTACCATTCTTCTATCACGACACATATACTTATATCACGATACTACAAATTTGAACCGCACACTCAAACAAAAATTAACCTATTAATGTGTTACATACCTACGATTGCAAATGTGATAGGGAAGGATGCAGGAGGGGTTTTGAAACTGAACTCAGGACCCGAATTGGATCCACAGCGGTAGTAGTATACTGTGTTGGGTTTCAAGGGACCGATGACCACGTCATGGATTTCCCCAGACTCGTACATCAAATACTTGTATGAACTTGTCGACCCAGTTGCCGACTTCTCATATGCACCAGGAGATGTGCCATATTCCACCGTTGCTAGACTTGGACTGTCGGTGATCCAGGATACTCTCATTTTGTCTGCACCTACTGTAGATATATGCACCTGCGCCAGCACATAAAAAACTATGTTCATTTTTAACCCGTTTCAAATCAATAGAACTCTCGAATTGACTTGGTATTTGTAAATTTTAAGATTTATTTTCGGGTCATTTCAAACCGAAAAACAAAATTAGGGTCATGTCAATCTCCGAAAAATGATTATTTGGTCTAGTGATATTACTATTTACTTCGTGGAAGTGTATTTCAGACTCAACTCTCACTATACCAAGTAATAATAATTAAAATTAAATTTAAAAAAAAAACAATATGAGGGCATCTTCTATGTATAAATATCTCATATTTGGCCTCTTGTGTCACAGATGTTTGTCCCCATTCATTTCCCTTTCAGTTCCCATTTGTCCCCATTCATTTGACTAAAGAGAAACCATTTGTTCGAGAAAAAAACTATGAATTCAATATATTTCGGTTAATTTATTGTGGTTGGTAAGTAAGTAAAGAAAAAACAATTTCGTCTAGTAATCCATCTTGGACTAAACTAATCTCAATCAACGAATTAATCAACAAATCATCTCTCTAATTACCACTATCTAATTAAGGCCATAATTTGGCTTTCAAGCGCCCCCAACGGAAAAAAAAAACACTTACAAAAATGAAGAAACAATTTTACGAAGAAAAGAACAGAACATATACAATTCAGAGTACCTGTTGTGGAGAATCAGAACCAGGATCGTCAGAAGGGACATAGACGTTTTTGCGCGGCGGTGGACGGTTATACCCCTGGACCAGTGCATTAAAGAACACCGGAAAAGCCAAGCCCATTATTGTCAAAACAATGAGAAGCCCTCCCAGCCGGCCTTCGACAACCCCCATGTTTATTGTTCCTACCTACTCAAATCTGCAGAGACAATAAATATAAAAAACCTCACCAGAAGAATTTGAAGCAACAATGGTTCTTCTTTCTCGTATATATATCATGCCCGTGGATTTATCGTTTTGGACAACTCCCTCGAGGTTTGTATGTGACACGTGGGGGGCTACCCAGATGGACACGTGTCCGAAAGGTATATCCAAAGCCAATTTGGAGGGTTTTGATGTTGTTGTTGGGTATGAAAAGAGTTTGGCAATTTGGGGTGCAAATTTCGTGACGGATTTGGTGATTATTGACTTTGATTGTGGAAGCGCATTGTGGCCAGTTTCATTGCCTTTCACTTTGCCAGTGACAGGTGGACTACTTATCCAGTTTAAGTAATAAAGTATATTGTCGTTTTTCCTTCTATGCATCACCATTTGGCAATTTGGAAATACGGACATGGAGATTATCAGCTCAATATCTGGCTAATTAAATACACCCGGATTTTTATATACTAATTATAAAAGTGGCAGTACTTAAATAGAAGTAAATCTAATTCGTTCGGTGGCATCAAAATTTTCACTTTGTTGAAGGAGATTCCAAGTTCAAATCTCATAGACTAATGTTGAATGAAAAAACAAACGAATTATGGGTGTATGATTCTACTCAGAATGTGCCGCATGTATAGTCAAAATAGCACTCATTTCTATCCCAAAAGAGAGAAAAGAAGAAAAAGATTGCGGGTGGCGGGCAGCCTACCTTTTAAAATATAGATGAAAGAACTAACCTGCACAGTGTATGAAAATATGCAATGTATTTTTCTCAATAAAACCAAGAAAATCAGCCTCACATGATCACGGGTCACTCTCTAACTCATGTCTCTTTCTTTCGCCAAACCCCAATTGCATGGAACAACTTTGCCGACCTATATATAATACGGTCGGCAACACGTTCAATATATGATACATCTATATTTTGGTCATGCCAGGATTTAGGAAACACGTACAAGGAAACTACAACAAGCAAGCTTCCAGTTCATTCCCTTTAATTTGGTTTAGACGACCCTAAGACTGATTTTTCTCTAATGATTGTTCGTTAATTTGGCCCTTTCGACTTGATCTATATAACATAAAGCTCAAGGGAAGAGGTTTTTAGTGTAAATTGCACAAAATAACACCCGAACTAGGCAATGATACATTTTCTATATATAGACGGTTCGAATTGTTAAAGTAAAATTCATAATAGACTTCACAAATAATCATGCTGATCTTTTCTGCATGTAAACAGTTCATTTCATATCGTTGAAATAAAATCCGTAATGAACTTCATAAATTATTCTTCAAATTAGATTATTTAAGCAATCTCTTAATTAATGCTGACTACATATATTATATATCCAAACCTAATGATGGGGTTTCGTTTAATCATGGTAGCCTAGTGGATGAATCTGCGTCACATGCTGGCGGTGGAGGTTTTCATTGAAGTCGATGTATACGTACGACTTCCATACTACGGACAATTTAAAGTTAACTAGAACTCTTAAAAAGTAGATGCTTTAGGATATTCTAACTTCTCGTCTCACCATTATTCGCATGTGGTGTGCATGATCCGCCACACAATATTAATTAAACATGTAATTAAGACTACTTGTTAATTAATTAAATTAATTCAGTTCTTATAAATTATATGTGTCTTGATCAAGGTTGACTCTTATTCTACAACTTGAGATATGAAATTTTCTGCATATAAGATGTGACATATATCAGAAGTTTCTAGCCTCCTCTACATTGTCATCACCACTCCTCTATATTGATCAATTAGCCCCAATCTCTTTCAATTAATCACGTTCACAGTTGCATCAAAGGTCTTGGGTGTGTGAATGTTAGAGGGGTGAGGTTGGAAGATGAGATTAAGGTTTTGACAAGATGATAGCTTAGGATTTGTAAATAGAGTTGTATTTAAGATGACATTTTAAACTGTAAGGGGCTTGTAGCTCAAGTGATTAAAACATTAATTCTTACATCCAAAGTCCTAAGTTCAATTCCCCGTCCCTCAATGTTGCCTGTACCACACAGAGAGAGAGAGAGAGAGAGAGAGAGAGAGAGAGAGAGATTTTGAACACTAAAATCTTATTTAAGCAATGGAGTATCCTTATTTATTTTTAAAGAAAAAAAAGCAAGCAAACAAAGATACTGAGAAAATTGAAGAGGAAGTGAGAGACTTGATTGTAATAAGGAATTTCCATTATGATTGGATTAGGATGACTTGTCGTGAAGGAGAATGTGGCTAACTTGCTCCAAAACTGAAGTATTCGTGTTTGTTCTTTAATATGAACCCAAAAAGTAAAAAAAAGACAACAAAATTTGTAGTTTCTTCTGGATGCTAGTTTAAACAAAATATATGTTCCATGTTTAATCGTTGAGACTTGAGGATAAGCCATGATCACACCACCACATGTTTTCTCTTGCATAATTGTGTTCCACATAAAACTCTACGGATATTGTGGGAGCGATTTTCGTGAGATATTTGATTCCACAGATATAACATGTTAATGCACCATAGCTCATCCATCAAAATGTCTCAATGAATTGAACTGTATGTAACCAGACAGTCTTAAGTCAAATGTTAAGAACAAGTCCATGATAATATTATTAAGGAACAACCCATGTAATTCCTTACTTCATCTTTCTTTATTCCATTGTGAAAAGAGTCATCTACCTCATGTTCAATTTCGCTTTATTTATTAAGGTACTTCGGCTTACGACTCATTAAATTAAAATAGCAAACAGATCTCCTCCAATCAAACGGGAGTATATAAAAAGGGAAAACAAAGATGAATGGTACAAGAAATGTGGGTTTGGTCCAAATTGACACCATTTTTCAAACCCTCTTATTCTGAAGAGTAGATTCCAGGGATATGCTCATGTCATTTACTTGTGTGCATGCTCGAGATGGTGAAGTCTTTGTTAATTGAGTTTCATGTGACTCACAGGCAGTTATATATCTCTCAGGATCCTCAAAGTAATTAACAAAAGAGGACAAATAACACTCATCTCCAGAAGGTTGGCAACACCAACTCTAATCAGACTTATAAGTTATAACATCACGAACGGGTATTCAGATTAACAGTCTAGCAACATAACATGTCAATATTTAAAATGTAGTCGTCCATCCTTAACAGCGTTCCACACTTAAAATGTATTATATTTTCATTGGAGATTTCGGGTAGCTTCTCTACTTTAGTCCAACGTACAAGCTTGCTCTCATTGGAAGAAGAAATTTTGATATATTATCTTTCTGAAGAATAGGTATTATATTTTTCTTAATAGCACATGATGATCAGTTGAATAATTGAAGTATACATCAAGGTTTTTCTTAATAGCGCTTTTTAAATTGAATAAATTTCTCAGGATGATGCATCTGCTGCTCACGAAGGAAACTTGTTGCTGGCCAGTCACCTATCAAGCTAGCAAAAGCAGAAAAAATTAACGTCATTTTTATTCTTTCAAGCCTACAAGTTAACATGACCAACTGCTTTGTCTTTTTTTTCTTCTTTTTTCTTTTTTTAGAATGGGCAAAAGCCGACTCCTAGAGTTCATGCACAGAAGGACATGTTCTCTGATAATGCATATTAAATTAAACTAATGAAAATTAACCTAATTAAGACCAAAACCAAGCCAATTAAGTCTAATTTACAATATGCCAGATAGATATACCAGGGACTGAGAATTCTTGGCGGCCAGTGGCTTCGCTGTAAGCATATCCAAGATAATTTCAAACAGACTTACTTCACGCCATTGCACTCCAAATATTTTATACATTTTTTTTTTCAAACCCTCTCAAGCCTTATATAAGGCCTCTCTAGGCTCTGCAAATGTTTTGTATATCCAATAGCTCTCAAAATGAAGAAATTATGTCTTCCTGTTCTCTCTCTCTTCCTAATCATCTGTCTCTCCCCTCAACTCCTACAAGCTCAAAATGATGACTTTATCAGACAACCCCCTCGCAGAGTCATATTAACTAAACACACCCGTTCGGACTTGGACCCTCAACAGGTACAAAATTTATGAGCAGTTTGAAGGTTTTTTTGTATATGATTTTAGAAAATATTTATCTTCTTTTTTTGTTAATTACTTTCTTAATTGGATAAGGTGCATATTTCACTGGTGGGAAAAGATCACATGAGGGTTTCATGGGTTACTGATAGCAAACATGGAAAATCAGTTGTGGAATATGGAAAGGCACCCGGGAAATATAATAGCAAGGCAACTGGAGAAGACACATCGTACAAGTATTTTTTCTACAGCTCTGGGAAGATCCACCATGTTACCATTGGCCCTCTGGAGCCTGCCACTATTTACTACTATAGGTGCGGAGGTTCAGGGCAAGAGTTCTCCTTCAAGACACCCCCACAAAAACTTCCTCTTGAATTTGCTGTGGCCGGTAAGTCATGCGTTTTTTCTTTCTTAAGATATTGTATGGAATTGGTAACTAGCTCGGTGTATAATTGATATGTTATGTTGTCAGACTCTCAATCTCAAACACATATTTCTGCAAGATTTCATATGATTAATTTTTTCGAATCAAACAACATAACACATCAAACTGTCGAATATAGAAGATAACTTTTCTTATAAGTAACCGTTGGTGATGCACACTCCAACTTATTTCTAAAATTAGAATATTCTAGAGGGATGAGTTGGTTAGCTATTGGTTGCTTGAAGGCAAACTAAGCAGAATGGCAAGAAATAGTTGGAGAAGAGTGTGAACCACTCCTTAGGAAAAGTTGCAACAAAATGCTAAGCTGCGTCTTCAAAAAATCTGCAAAAAGTCACACTGTTCTGGATCATACCTAAATTAATTATTGATGTAATAACCTGGCTTAATCCTATAATTAGACACTTAATTACAACAGCTATAATATTGCACCTGTGTTTGCAAGTTTGTGCTTCTATCTCTCACACTGGGTTCGGTTTGTGGGGCTGAGGCACTGTTTATGTGTTCATGGTTACAAGATTAA